AGAACACCACCAGTGACTCGCAGAAGATCCAGATCTAGGACTCCACCAGTAATGAGGCGGCGATCTCGAAGTAGAACCTCGCCCATCACTCGCAGAAGATCAAGGTCCAGAACGTCCCCAGTCACCCGTAGGAGATCTCGATCTCGCACATCTCCAGTAACTCGAAGGAGGTCCCGCTCTCGAACCTCTCCAGTGACACGCCGCCGATCTAGGTCTCGAACACCTCCAGCTATTCGGCGTCGCTCTAGGTCTCGAACCCCACTTTTGCCACGCAAACGTTCACGAAGTCGCTCATCACTTGCTGTCCGTCGCCGTTCTAGGTCTCGTACTCCACGAACAACTAGGGGCAAAAGGTCCTTAACAAGATCTCCAGCCATCCGCAGGCGTTCTGTGTCTGGGAGTAGTTCTGATCGTTCACGTTCTGCTACACCTCCAGCAACAAGAAATCATTCTGGTTCGAGGACACCTCCAGTGGCACTCAATAGCTCCAGAATGAGTTGCTTCAGTCGTCCTAGCATGTCACCAACTCCTCTTGACCGCTGTAGATCACCTGGAATGCTTGAACCCCTTGGCAGCTCTAGAACACCCATGTCTGTCTTGCAGCAACCTGGTGGCTCCATGATTGATGGTCCAGGTCCCCGAATTCCTGATCACCCTAGAACATCTGTGCCAGAAAATCATGCTCAGTCTAGAATTGCACTTGCCCTAACAGCCATCAGTCTTGGCACTGCTCGGCCTCCTCCATCCATGTCTGCTGCAGGCCTTGCTGCAAGAATGTCCCAGGTTCCTGCTCCAGTGCCTCTCATGAGTCTCAGAACAGCTCCAGCCGCCAGCCTTGCCAGTAGGATTCCAGCAGCCTCTGCAGCAGCCATGAACCTGGCCAGTGCCAGGACACCTGCCATACCAGCAGCAGTAAACCTGGCTGACTCGAGAACGCCAGCTGCAGCAGCAGCCATGAACTTGGCCAGCCCCAGAACAGCAGTGGCACCTTCTACCGTGAACCTTGCTGACCCTCGTACCCCTACAGCCCCAGCTGTGAACTTAGCAGGAGCCAGAACTCCAGCAGCTTTGGCAGCTTTGAGTCTCACAGGCTCTGGCACACCCCCAAATGCTGCAAACTATCCCTCTAGCTCCAGAACACCCCAGGCTCCAGCTCCTGCAAACCTGGTGGGTCCTAGATCTGCACATGCCACAGCTCCTGTGAATATTGCTAGCTCAAGAACCCCACCAGCCTTGGCCCCTGCAAGCCTCACCAGTGCTAGAATGGCTCCAGCTTTGTCTGGTGCAAACCTCACCAGCCCCAGGGTGCCCCTCTCTGCTTATGAGCGCATTAGTGGCAGAACCTCACCACCTCTCCTTGACAGAGCTAGGTCCAGAACCCCCCCAGGAGGCCCAGGCTCCCGAACCCCACCAGCTGCCCCAAGCCAGTCTAGAATGACCTCTGAGAGGGCTTCCTCACCTGTCTCTAGAATGGTCCAGGCTACTCCCTCGCAGTCTGCTCTCCCTCCAGCTCAGGATCGGCCTAGGTCCCCTGTGCCATCTGCTTTTTCTGACCAATCCCGATCTTCACTTGCTCAGACCACCCCTGTAGCAGGATCTCAGTCCCTCTCTGGGTCAGTGGCAAAGACCACGTCCTCCGCTGGTGACCACAACGGCATGCTCTCTGTCCCTGTCCCTGGGGTGTCCCACCCTGAGGGTGGGGAACCACCTGCCTCTTCGGGGGGATTGCAGCCAGCAAAGGAGCGGCGGAGTTCCTCCTCATCATCATCCTCTAGCTCGTCATCTTCATCGTCGTCGTCGTCATCGTCGTCATCCTCCTCCGGCTCCAGTTCTAGTGACTCGGAGGGCTCTAGCCTTCCCGTTCAACCTGAGGTAGCACTGAAGAGGTAAGGGGACTTCTATAATTTTTTCAAGGGGAAGATTTTGGGGATGGGGTGGGGAAAGGAAAGTCCTATCCAGAGGTTCTTGGCTCATTGAGGAAGTGTGGGGACCTTGACCATTAAGTTGGGGGTAGAAGAGAATGCTGGGGCGGGGGGGTATGGGGGGCGGAATGGGGTAGAAGCCTCCAAAAGTTAATTCTCTAGAGTATAATGATAAGTTTTCCATCTCTACAGAGGACAGAACTAGAGGAAATGGACTTAATTTTACAGCAGGAGGGATGGCAGTTAGACCTCAAGAGGATCTCCCTGGGCTGGAAGGATCTTCAGAGGTCATCCCATCCCTCTCCCTGCCTCCAGGCAGGACGGCCCCTCCCCCAGCCAGTGGCATACACACACAGGGGCCATCCCAAGCTGGCTCTCCAAGGAAGGAGAGCACCCAGCTTTGCTCCCACACCTGAGCCCAGGGGCCGTATTCCTTCATCAGGGACATTCTTGAGGTTTAACCTTGATCCCTTGTGCTGCGGAGCCCAGCCTGTTGCTTACGTTAGCAGAGGTTGGGTCAGCTTGGGGCCACCGCTCTCCAGAGAATTTGCTCACTGGCTTGCTGGCTCTCTGGCTTTGGCTGGGAGAGTTCCCAGGCCTTTTTCAGGCACCCCTCCCCCACTGCCCTTCCTCCAGGCCTTGGAAGGTAGGGTTGGGGTGGGGCTGCTTGTCCTCTTGTGACATTGTCTTCTTCCCACAGGGTCCCTAGCCCTCCCCCAGCCCCAAAGGAACCTGATCGAGAGGGAAGACCTCAGGAGCCTACCCCAGCCAAGCGGAAGAGGCGCGATAGCAGCTCCAGTTCCAGCTCCTCTTCTTCCTCTTCCTCTTCCTCTTCCTCCTCCTCTTCGTCCTCCTCTTCCTCTTCCTCCTCTTCTACCTCCTCATCCTCTTCCTCCTCTTCCACTTCTTCCCCTTCCCCTGCTAAGCCTGACCCCGAGGCCTTGCCCAAACCTGCAAGCCCCAAGAAGCCACCCCCTGGTGAGCGGAGGTGAGTGCTACTTTGCTTGAGATGGTAGGGGTGGGTTGTAACCCTGGGGTGTGAGATCCTGCTGGGTGTCTCTTGTGGACTCTGGTGTCTGGTTGTATGGGAGGAGTCAGGTGCTCTCTTCCCCACCCACTCTTGTTTTGTCCTGTTCTGATAGAAGGGCTGCACCATTCAAGTAGGTGCCCCAGCCAGAATTGAGAGTTTTGGGTTCTTTCGTCTCCCTGCCCCTGACATGCAGGCTGGTCCCAGGGAGTCTAGCTTTTAAGTCTCCCTATTGCTATTGCCAGGGCTCTGGTCTGGCCACCGTCATCTTCTCCTGACTCTGTCCACAGCCTCTTCCCTGTCTCCCTGCCTCCACGCCATTCTCTTCCACACGTAGCCAGAGGGATCTTTCTAAAACGCACATCTGGTTACTTCCCTCCACTCCACAAATCCTGGGACGCCCTGTGGCCTGCAGGATAAAGCCCCATCTCTGCGGGAATGGCGTGTGAGGCTCTACACCAACTGGCCTTGCCTGCCCTGTGTTCTCCTCTCCTGCCCGCCCCCACACATGCCCTCTGCTCCAGCCACACCCAGCGCCTTGCAGTCTAAGGAGAACCCCATGCCTTTGGACATGCTGTTCCTTCTGCCTGGAATTCCCTTGTCCGCCTGGTGAACTCCTCGTTCTGCAAGACTCCGCTCAAACAGCACCTTCGAGAAGACTACCCTGCCCCCTCCCTTCATCCCCCCACCCCCACCCCGGGTCCCCAAATCTACCTATATTGGTCCCTGTGGGGCTGCTTCCCATACATGGGGCTGAGCACGCCTCCCTTGGCCTGCCTTCATCACCAGACCAAGCTCCTCCAAGGGCAGGGAATGTCTTTATCTTTGTATACCCCATGCCCTGCCCACTGGGGCACTCGGTGGATGGTATGCGGGCGGATGGGTGAGTGAGCAGACAAAGGTGGGTTTGAGGCTGGCCCTGTGTGGTATGAGGTTTGGTGGTCAAGGCCTGGGGGTGGTGGTCCTGAGTGCTGGCTGGTGGGTTTAGGAGAGAGTGGCACTATGAGAACCTTCTCTGCTCCCCAGGTCCCGCAGCCCCCGGAAGCCAATAGACTCCCTCCGGGACTCCCGGTCCCTCAGCTATTCACCTGCTGAGCGCCACCACCCCTCTCCCCAGCCCTCACCACGGGACCAACAGAGGTAGGGCTGTGGGTGTATTTTTGCTTCCAGCCATAGCCACTCTGGTTTGGCTGTAGACTTTTGTGAAAAGTTTTGAGGCTCAAAGATGATAGAGGTTGGTGTGTGTGGTCTGTGTCTGTTCTGTGCAGCAGTAGCAGTGAGCATGGTTCCCGGAGAGGTCAGCGTGGGGACAGTCGCTCCCCAGGCCACAAGCGCAGGAGGGAGACACCTAGCCCCCGTCCTATGCGGCACCGCTCCTCCAGGTGTGTTCATCGTAGTCCAGGACTGGGCCTTTTTTATGAGAACTTTAGCTAGCTGGGACCTCTGCATTGATGGCAGTCTTCTTTGTTGCAGGTCTCCATGAATGTGTTTTGGGGAATTCCACCACACCCCAAGGTCTGGACCCACAGGAGTGCCCCCTTTCTCCCAAACAGCTGTGGGAGGGGTGCTTGTCCACCCCCTACCCCTTGAACCCTGGCAGCAGCATTTTGAGGGGGAGGGCTCTTTCCCTACCCCATTTTTTTTTCTTTGTTCCTGCGAAATGTTAATCTCTGTGAGTTTTTTCTGGTTCACATGTTTTGGGGGGTTTGGGGTGGGTTGGAATAAGAATGGGAATTACTGGAGGGGGAGGATACAGGTCAGGACTCTCCAGTCCTGAATTAGAAAAGGCCTGGGAGACACCATCGCCCCCTTTACCCCTGAGTTCAGGGGTGGGGGGGTGATGATGGTTTGGGACTTGGGAACTTGTGTGAAGTGTTGTGGAAAGGGGCAGGAATTGAAATTAGTTGGCCCTTACTGCCCCCCCCAGTGAGATTGTGGCCCCGTCCCCCCAACTTTTCTTCACGTTTCTTAAAGGTATTTTGGTTTTTTAAAATCTGTACAGCAAGGCAACTTTTCTGTCAAATAAAAATGAGAAATGCAGGAATTTGGTCTATATACTGTTTATTAGGGGTTGGAGAAGAGCTGCCCTTTATACTGATTGCAGTCCAGGAGGTCTGGGGCCCATGTAGATCAGCTTTAAAGCCACACACAGGTTCTGGCTTATACTTTTGCTCCTAGTCTCTGAGCGGGACCAGAGGCCCCTGTCTGGGAGCCAGTGTGCCGGGGAGGGGATGGACGACTACTGTGAATGAATAAAACCTTGTCACACTTTCGTCCCTGGGCTAGAGCAGGCTGAGACTAGTTTGGGGCTCTGGGTTCCTCCCAGTTTTCTCCCTGTGGCCTAACAGGCCAACCTGGCAAGCAAGAGGAGAGGCTGGGAAGGAATCCCATCCTGGTGAGGATGATGCCTGGAGTCAGGTGAGGGTACGCAGAAAAAGGCTGCAATCAGGCAGACGCTGCAATCTTTTATTGGAGATGGGACAGTCAGGGGTTGGGGCCAGGCTCTCTCACTGCACAGCTTGTTCATTGGCACTGCTTCCTGAGTCCTGTGGCTTCATCACATCAGGCAGCTCTGGTGGGCTGGAAAAAGGCTCGATGCGCAGGGCTTCAAATGCATCATCTAGAGAGCAAAATAGGGAGAGCTAGAGGGACAGCCACTTCTTAGCACATACCCAACCTTGCAAAGTGTTTCCTCCACAACTCTGACCTCTACATCCAACTGCCTGGATTTAGAGGCCCTGCTGGAATGTCTCTCACCTCTACAGGGCCAGCATAACCCTGCTCACCCCCTGTGCTTGGCCTTCCAAGTAACTTTTAACATACTCTGAATAAAATACCAAATCTTGCCATCACATCTCTCCAATCACTTCTGCCTTGGGGGCCTTTGCACTTTGACCTTCAGGGTTCAACAAAAGCATCACCTCAGAGAACCCTCCCCCAGTCATCCCACATAAACAACCACTCTTCAGCCCAATGGCCTGTGCCTGGGGAGCACCTAATGAGCTGAAATGGACCTGTTTTCTTCAGAACAGCAGCTTTTCCTACCAGAACAGTGGCTCTAGGAAGGCCTTCTTGTCTTGTGTCCCAGTCACCTCAGCACAGAGCAAATGAACCCCCCCTTCACTTTTCTCCTGCACTTTTCCTCCCACCAGTAAGACTACCTAGCTCAAGGGTTCTGACTCCATTAGTGCCCCCTGCCCCAAGCTGGCCATGTCTGGTAAGTTTGGGTTGTCATAACTTGGAGGTGGGTGGGTCTACAAATAACATAGGTACAAAGGTCATCTCTGGTAGTGGTCAGACATGCTAAGCATTTTGTGATACACAAAACAACCACACACACATTTATCCAGTGCAGAATTTCAACAGTGCTGAAGACACCAAAGTCACAAACCCATAGTGACAATTCTTGCCTTCAGCACCCTTTCCCATTTTTTGTAAATAAAGTCTGGATGATGTCATTTAACACTTGAGATGAACACTGTCATCTCCCTCACTGAGCCAGTGACGAGACAGACCAATGTCTTGTCCTTCAAATCGTGCAAGGAAACCACTACTCATCCAGAAGTGTTTTTGCCTCTGAGGGAAGCAGAACAGTCACTCTACAGTCTACACCATAGCCCCTGCCATCTGTAAAAAACCTACTGTCTTCCAAGAGTTGCTGCAAGCCTGTAATGTGCCCTTGTCTGGCTTAGGAAGCACTACAGACAATGAGCTTTTTAGTCCTCACCTGTGCCCTTCAGAAGGGCACCCCTGTACAGAATCTGACCTGTATAAACTGCACCAGTTCTGCATCTGCCTTGGCCTCACTGTGAGGGTCAGCAGGAACCCACATAAAGGCCTTTAAGATTTCTGTTTGCTCAGCACTGGAAGGCTGGGGCCTGGTGTGCCTGTCACGGTGTCTAGTTCATGAATCTGCTTCTGAACCATAGCTCTCCATGTGACTGCTGTCAAGTTGGTCCATGTCTCCAAAATATGCACGGTAATATTTACTTCCCAGGGCTATCAAGAGGATGAGAGTACAATGGAGATAAAATGTAGAGCACAGGGCCAGGTACTCAGTAAGTCCTCAAGGTCCAAGATGGCGGCACTGGATGAGCCTAAACTTGTCCCCTCCCATTAGCAAACTCAAGTATACAATTATATAGAGAGCAATTACTCCAGCAAGAAAACTGAGGGCTGAATGAACAACTTCTGAATAACAAACGAGAAAGAACAGAGATTAGGAAGCCACAGAGCCCTCTAGGAGCCGCAGAAACTCTGGCCAAGGAGCTGGTGAGTGGCATTGTTTACATTCCCCTACACTTAACTGGGGCGGGGGAGGGGGCGCTCTATCCAGATACTTTGGCCTTCCCACAAAATCACCACTGGGTGTTCCTCCTACATTTCACAGCCTTTTGCCTCCCCACAGAGGGAACAAGCCAGGAACAGTGGGGTGTCACCACAAACCTCTGGCCTCCCTGTGGAGACACTAGTTGTTTCCCCAAAGTTGCTCATGTCTCCCTCCACCTTCACAGGGGTGGTCATGGGCTCCATCCAGGTGCTCTGCCTACTAGCAAGGTCCCCACAGTGTGTTCCCAGACACATCACCTGAGCCCACTTCAGCTCTGAACAAAGGGAGCAAGCAGATCAAAAGCATTACTACATGCACCTGGCTGCCCAACCCCACCTGGAGCCACTCTGGCTCAGTGTTGTTAGTACTCGAGATACCTCCTACCAGCCTGCCAAAACCAACCAGTACACACAGCCTACATAGGCCACTTCTACCTCGGGCTACTTTTTCAAGTCTAGGAGAGCTATTTTGTCTAATTCGTATGAACAAAGTCAAACAAAATGTAAAGAGAATAATATGTCTTAAATGAATGAACATGAAAAATCAACAGAAAAATACCTGAGACAAGTAATCTGCCTGATAAAGAAGTCCAATGGTCATAAGGATGCTCTCCAAACTTAGAACTTCAAGAATCAAGCACAACTTTAGAATACAGTAACCAAAATGAAAAATACATTAGAAAGAATGAAGAGATTAGTTAATACAGAATAGATGAGCAACCTGCAAGACAGACTAGTGGAAATCAACCAAAGCAGCAAAAACAAAAAAGAATTAAATGAGGACAGTTTAAAAAACGTCTGGAATAATATCAAGCACTTAAACATTCAAATTATAGGGCTCCCAGACAGAGAAGAGAGAGGAACAGAAACTTTACTCAAATAATGGCTGAAATCTTTCTTAACCTGGGAAACGGGCATTTAAGCCCAAGAAGCAGAGTTTCAAACAAAATGAACCCAAAGAGACCCAAACTGAGACACAGTAATTAAAATGGCAGAAGTCAGAGGATCTTTAAGGAAGCAGGAGGAAAACAATGAATTACCTACAAAGAATACCCCTTAAAGCTATCATCACCTTTCTCAGCAGCAACTTTACAGGTCAGAAGTGGCAGGACATCTTTGAAGTGCTAAATGGCACTTTAACTGAAACACAGAATAATTTACCCAGCAAGGTTATTTAGAATTGAAGGAGAGCTCAAGAGTTTTCCCAGAGAAGAAAAAAAGAAGTTCATCACCATTAAACCACCTTTATAAAAAATACTAAAGGGTCTCTCTAAGCAGAAAAGTGCATAACCTGAAATAAAATAATGAGGAAAAAAAATCAGGTAAAGACAAATACTGAATATATTAAATCAGACATGTAAAAAGCTACCACGAAAATTAAAAGAAAAAAGTATCAAACTCAGCTTAAACTACAATACTACAATAAGTAGAGGATATACAACACAGATCTAAAACATGACATCAATAACAAAGTGTAGAGGGTCGAGTAAAAATGTAGTCCTTATTAAATATATTCAAATTTAAACACTTATCAGCTTAAAACAGACTGATATAGATGATAGAGAATGATATACATAGACCTCATGGCAACCAGAAACCTACAAAAAGTATAAAAAGAACAAAGGGAAAGGAACCCAAACAAAACCAGCAAACTGACTTCTGGCCAAGATGGAGGTGTGGGTACATGCTCACATACAGCCCCACAAAGTGGTGAAGCAGGTTATCCCACCCTGGCGAATACCTAAGGCTCCATCCAGGTGCACCCAGACAGAAAGTCAAAGCAGCTCTACCTAAAACACAGAAACAAACACAGGGAGGCAGCCAAATTGAAGAGACAAAAAAATATGGCCCAAGTGAAAGAAGATCAAAACTCCAGAAGAACTACGTGAAACAGAGATAGCCAACCTATCATATACAGAGTTCAAAAAACTAGTGATAAAGATGCTCAGAGAATTCACTGAGTGCAGTAAACACATAAGAGAAGAAATGAAGCCTACACTAAGTGAAATAAAAATATGCAGGGAACCAACAGTGAAGGGAAGGAAGCCAGGGTTCAAAACAACGATTTGAAACATAAGGAAGAAATAAACAGTCAAGCAGTACAGAATGAAGAAACACAAGAAGAGAGTAAGACAACTCTGGAACATCACTAAAAGTGCCAACATCTGAATCATAGGGTTGCCAGCAGACCACGAGGGAAGAGATCCAGAGAAGGAACAGAGGAGAACTACAGAAACAACAAATAAACAAACAAAATGGCACAAAGTACACATTTATCAATAATTATGGTAAATGGAAATGGACTAAACGCTCCAATAAAAAGACACAAGGTGGCTAAATGGATTTAAAAAATAAATAAAAATGACCCAAACATATGCTGTTTACAAGAAATTCACTTCAAATCAGAAGATACAGACACACTGAGAGTAAAAAGATATCCCATGCAAATGGAAATAAAAAGAAAGCTAGGGTAGCAATACTAATTTCAGACAAAATAGACTCTAAAACAAAAAATGCAAAAAAAGGCAAGAACATTACATAATGATAAAAGGGTCAATCCAATAAGATACAACAGTCGTAAATATCTGTGCACCCAAAATAATAGCACCTAAATATATAAAGAAATTATTAATGGATATAAAGGCTCATATAGCCACAATAATATAATAGTAGGGTATTTTAATACTCCACTTGTATGGATACTCCACTTGTATGGATAGATCATCTAGACAGAAAACTAGTAAGGAAATAATGGACTTATATGTCAGATTGAATTAATATACATTATTAGAACATTTCATCCCAAAACTGCAGAATACACATTTATCCTCCAAGTGTACATGCGACAGTCTCCAGGACAGATCTATGCCACAAAACAAGCCTCAATACATTCAAGAATATTGCAATCATATCAAGCATCCTTTTAGTTGAAACTAAAATCAACTACAGGAAGAAAGCTGGAAAAAACACAAATCCATGGAGACTAGAAAACATGCTACTAAAAAACCGAAAGAGAAACACAAACAGGAAATCAAACACTATTTTGAAACAAATGATAATGAAAACACAACTTTTCAAAGTTTATGGGACACAGCAAAAACAATTCTAAAAGAGAAGTTCACAAAAAATCCCAAATAAACAATCTTATTCCACACTTGAAAGAATTAGAAAAAGAAGAATATGACCAGGCAGTTTCACAGGTGAACTTTGCCAAACATTCAAATTAAACCTATCCTCCTTACAATTTCAAAAAATTGAAGAGGAACTCTTCTAAACTCATTCAGCATTACCCAGATACGAAAACCAGACAAAGACATAAAAAGTTAAAAAGAAAAAAAAAAGAAAAACCATAAAAAGATACAAAAAACAAAAAAAAGGTTGGCAATACCCTTGATAAACATAGATGTAAAAATTCTCAACAAAACATTAGCAAACCAGATTCAACAATACATTAAAAGGATTATACACCATGACCAAGTAGAATTCATGTCAGGGATGCAAAATGGTCCAACATTTGTAATCAATCAACATGACACATCACATTAACAAAATAAAACATAAAAACCATATGATCATCTCCATAGGTGCAGAAAATGCATGAAAAAATTGAAATGCTTTTATGACAAAAACTCTCAGTAAAGTGAGTACAGAAAGAATGTACCTCAACATAGTAAAGGCTATATATGACAAATCCTCAGATAATATCATACTTAATAGTGAAAGCTTGTCTAAAATTAAAATGAAAATAAATGGAGCCACTGTAAGATGGGGCCAGAGCTGCCATGCCTGAGGAGCTGCCTTGTAAGTTTTATGCTTCAAATCTTTGGAACGTTACGGAAAAATAACCTTGGGACTGGGCCCAAAGCAACATTGTGCCCCAAAGAAATGTTTGAAAATATAACAAAAAAGCAGTTATTTTAACTACTGAAGAATATTGGATTGAAAATTAAAAAGCACTGTTTAGAATTAACATTGCTATGTTATTTGCACCAACAGAAATAACCTTTATATTGGTGTAATTGTTCCCCTTCCCTTTTCTTAAATACCCATTACCATTGTCTCCTATCAATTTGGGCTTTTGCATGAATCAGTGTTTCCCAAATAGCTATTCTTTTTCAATATCAAATAAATGCTTGTTGCCTCTCATTTTGAAAGGCTTTTTTATTTTTAGGTTAACAAGCAGAAGACCAGGACAAGGATGTCTACTATCACTACTTCTATTCAACATAGTATTAGAAGTCCTAGCCACAGCAATAACACAAGAAAAATAAATAAAAGGCATCAAAGCCGGAAAGGAAGAAGTAAAACTCTCATTATTTGCAGGTGACATGTGACTATATATAGAAAACCCTAAAGACCTCTCTCTCTCTCTCTCTCTCACACACACACACACACACACAAATGAATTCAGTAAAGTTGCACAGGACACAAAATCAATATACAGAAATCTGTTACATTTCTATATACCCATAACAATCCGAAAGAGAAATTAAGAAAACCCCATTTACAATTATGTCAGAAACATAAAATATCTGGAATAAATTTATCTAAAGATGTGAAAGACCTGTACTATGAAAACTATTAAAACACTGAAAAAATTGAAGTTACAAATAAATGGAAGGATACACCATGCTCATGGATTGGAAGGATAAATATTAAATGTCCGTACTACCTAAAACAATATACTGATTCATTGCAATCTCTATTAAAATACTAATGACATTCTTTTCAGAATTAGAACTAATTATCAAATGTATATGGAACCAAAGACCCCAAATAGCCAACGAAATCTTAAGATAAAAGTGGGAGGTATCACACTCCCTGATATCAAACTATACTAATGGAATAGAGAGCCCAGAAATAAATCCTCACTTATATGGTTAATTAATCTATAACAAAGGCAAGGGTATACAATGTCATAAAGTCAGTCTCTTTAATAAGTGGTATTGGGAAAACTGGGCAGATACATGCAAAAAAATATTTGATCACTTTCTTACATTGTGCACAAAAATAAGCTCAAAATGTATTAAAGACGGAAATGTAAGACCTAAAACCATAAAATACCTAGAGGAAAACATAGGCAGTAAACTCTAAAATCGCTGTTAGCAATATCATTCTGGATATGTCTCCTTGGGCAAGGAAACAAAAGAAAAAATAAGCAGAACTACATCACACACTAAAAAGTTTTTGCATAGCAAAAGCTATGATCAGAAAAACAAAAAGGCAACCAACTGAAAGATAAAAGATAGTTTCCAATAATATATCTCACAAGGGGTTAAAACCCAAAATTTGTAAGGAACCCACACAAATGGCCAACAAACATATAAAGACCCTCAACATCACTATTCAAATTAAAGCCACAATATGATATCACCTCACACCTGTCAGAATGGCTATAATCAACAAATAACAAGTGCTTTGAAGTAGAGAAAAGGGAACCCTCATACACTGTTGATGGGACTGTAAACTAGTGTCACTATGGAAAATAGGATGGAAATTCCTCAAAAAATTAAAAATAAGAGCCTGCTATATGACCCAGCAATTCCACTTCTGGGTATTTAGCCAAAGAAAACAAAAACACTAATTTGAAAAGATATATACACCCTTATGTACAGTACAGCATTACTAGTAATAGCCAAGATACAGAAGCAACTTAGATATCCATCAACAGATGAATGGATAGAGATGTGGTGTGTTCTCTCTCTCTCTCTCTCTCTCCCCCTGTCTCTCTCTCTGTCTCTCTCTGATACATTACTCAGCAAGAGTAATGAAATTTTGCCATTTGTGACAACATGGATAGACCCAGTAGGTACTATGCTAAATGGAGTTGAGACAGAAAAACCCCTTATAATTTCACTCATATGTGGAATCTAAAAAGAAAACAAAGTAAATGAATAAATGAAACAAAACAGAACCACAGATTTAGAGAACAAGTTGATAGCTGCCAAAGTGGGAGAAGAGTGGGAGGATAGGAATAAAAAAAGGAAAAAAACCCTCCTCTGTAAATGTAAGCTGGTATCATGAATAGGGATCTTTGAATCCTTCATAAAATATACTTAAATTTCTACAAGCATCTTGTTTGCTTCTCTTTTTTGTGTGTGGGGAAACAAATACACTGTCACAGGATATTGCCTGATGTTTGTGGACTGGGAAAACATCATCCTGGAGGCTTAGAAGAACAACTGCAGGCTCCCTGTCAACCCCTTTCTTTGGCTGTTCTACCCTCTCTAGCTGTCCCTCTCACCTGCCCGGAAGGCCAGTCCCACAGTGGCTGGGGCCTGTGGCCGAGCTGTTTGACTGGTGAAGCCACACTCGCCCAGTGTCTTGCCGTCATCCAGAAGTTGGTCATCCTGAGGAGAGAGGCAGACAGGGTCTCAGGAGAGGCCCCAGGAGGGTCAAGTCCCAAAGACTTCACTGGTCAGCAACTACAGTGCACATCAAAAGGGGTAGAAAGACTGCCCAAAGTAGGGCCCTGGACCACCTAAGTTTATCAAGCAGTTTCCAAGGCTACACTCAAAACTTTCCAAATCAGAACCTCCCAAGGTAGGGCTCTGGAATGGTTTTTCCCAAACTCCAGGTGAATCTAATTCCAAGAAAGTGTGACTCAATCTGACCACAGGCAGACATGGTTTGACTCCCAGCTCTGCCACCTTGGACGAAGTCATCTTTTTGATGTGAAGTTTCCTTATCTGTAAAATGGGAAGTACTGGAATTCCCAACTAGGGGGAGCCAGGAGGTGTCACTAAGTAGTACAACATGTGGAATTATCACAGATGGCAGGAAGGGTCCTTATTAGAGAAAGCGCCAGTAAAGGAAAAAAGGCCTTTAGAGACCAAGGGAGTGGAGGCTCGGCCTGGAGCAAAATGTTCATTTCCCCAGTTTCCAGCCATTATCAGATCAGTGCTCTTAGGTGAGGGACCTCATGCTGCCAGAGACTTGAATCAGGGGCTGACACACCAAGCTCCCCAATGAAAACCCAAAATCACAAGCTATCCTTGCTAAGTAACTACAGTTGGCTGTAACAGAAAAAGGGTGTGGGGTTTTTAGAACATCAGCAAGTTGGGGAGTAATAAACAGTTATTGTGTGAAGAGCTGGTGGGACCTGACTCAGCCAGACACCTTTCATTTCTTTGTATTAAGGAGTGCCTGGGGGGACCCGGGGCGGTGCAGTGTCATTCTGATGAACATGCATAAGACTAAGGATATGCGGTCCCAAATCCTGGCTCTGCCAATGACCTTGGGCTGTTAAGTGGTCCCCTCGCCGGGGCTCAGTTTCCTTAATAAGAGAGCAGGAATATGAAGAGCTAGCACCTCCCGGGTGGAACTGCTGTCGGGATCAGATGCGATGCTGGCCCTCGGCGCTCAACACAAGGCCTGGCACGCGACTTTAAAGCCATCCTTACCGAGACCTTTCGTGTGGCGAGCGCTACCGGCGCTTCATCTCCCCGAGTCCGAACAACAGCCCACGCCGGGGAATTTGGGCCCCGGCGTCTACTGTTTACATAAACGATGAGGCCGTCGTGTGCTCATAGCCAGGCTCGGGGCGGCGGTTCCGGGCAGCGCGCATCCCTATCCCCAGCTCTCGCCAGCTCCCCGCCCGCCCGGAACCGGAGGGGCCGCACCTTGTATAGCCGCTGCTCGTCGGGCGGCCGCTTGAGGATGCCCTCGACGATGCGCTTCAGCTCGAACACGGTGCTCGACTCCTTGGCGTCCGTGAAGATGGTGGTCTTGTGGCGCCGGATCATGAGGAACACGTCCTGGGGGCAGCGGGCTGGCATGAACGCGGAGCCGGGGCCCCCCCGCGCGGCCCGCTGCCCCCACCGCCCCCGGCCCAGCGCCCCTCCCCCCGAAGCCCGCTCACCATCGCAGCGGCTGCCTCTCCCACTCGACGCGCCGGCGCGGCCGCGCTCCGCCCCGTTCCCGGCGGCCCGCGCGCTGGCCTCCCGAGCGACCCGCGCCTGGCGGCCCCACCCCCGAAGACCCGCCCCACGGTCGCCATTTTAGGTGATCAAAAAGCGAGTGGCTCGGGTCCTATGGCCGGTCGCCATCTTGGCGCCGTAGCGCGGCGCGGTGCAGTTGGCAGGGTGGGTGAGGTGGTGCGAGTCGATCAGGGACCGAGCTCGGGGGACGTAGGAGAGGTGGCGCCATCTTGGGGGTGACAGAGGCGACGTCCATCGGGTAGGCCCGAGCCTAGACCCGGCCTTCCTTTGTTGATATGGGAAGCTAGCTTCACGAGCGCAGGGTGCTCTCACATCCCAGGGAAAGTGAATGAATAATGTGCTTCTTGGCCACCGAGGACATTTGCATCTCAGTGAGACCTGGCCTGCCATGTTGAGGGTGAAGCCAGAGGGCAGTTCACTCCGGGGCTCCAGTTGATGTCACTACTCAGCCAAAAAGCAGACACAAGGATTGGATTATAGTTCTGCTTTTATTAACATCAGAGGCTAGCAGTCTGAGAAAACGGTGCGTTAAAACCCTAACCTCAACCTTACCTTGAGCTTTCAGAAACAAGTTTACATATGAGAAATTGGGAGGGGCAAGTTGCTAGGGGGAGCGCGCACGGGCTGTTTCTTTTGGGAAGAGCAGCTGAAAGGGAAGTCACCAGCCTCCTCCCAAACTGGCTCATCTGTTCCTGTGTTCCTTTTTTTAAAAAAATTTTTCAGTCACGTTTACTCTAGTAACAGTTGTCTCAATTTTTCCCCCTTTAACCTCCTCCCCCCATCCCACTGTTTGCGTTAGAATTCCTCTTCCTCTGTCTCCCCTCCCCATGCCCCCACCCCCACCAGGCCTGCGGTTTAAAGGCCAGGGAGGTTGTGTATTTTCTGGTTAGGAAAGATTAAGGTCTTGCACTCAAGTGTTTGGCTTTAATTTCCCTGATGACCCACCAGGAACAGCCAAGCTGTACCTTACATGGATGGCCCTCAGTCAGGGGGAAAGAGCAGCCTGGAGTTCTGTACCACCCTAGTCCATAGACTCACACTGCCTGGACTGGCCTGCAGTAACCCAGCAGTGACCACCTGGTACAACTACTTCCTCTCCTCGGAGAAAAAAAGGGACAAGGCTTCAGCCTCTGTGGGGGCAGCTGCACTTGGGCACGTCCCACCAGGCTGCACCTTTGATGATGGCCTTCTGGTTCCCTCTTTACCCACTGCTGCTGTCAGCTCCAAAGATTGGATTTTGGATTTTCCAGGTTTTATTCCTTTTTTTTGTTTGTTTGTTTCTTCAGCTCTAGAAACTGAGCTGTATCTACAGGGATGGGTGATTCTTGGCCTGGGAATGAAGTAGCAGGTCCCAGGCACATGAAGCTGGGTGAGGAGCTGAAAAAGGTCTAAACCAGTCTCTAGATACAGGTGTTGGGGGTCCTTGGCCTGGAGGTTCTGGCCAAGGCTAGGACCAGCCTGATTCCCCCTGGGCATGGATGAATAGGTGGGAGAGCAGAAAGAGAGCAGACTCTCCAGCCAGGCCTGCCTGGGGGTTCCTGGTCCCTTTTTGGGCAAAGGGTATAATGCCCGGTGGCTCAGACTCCTGAGCTTGGTGGAGGCCTACCCTGCCCCCAGGTACCTCCATTGTGGTAGGGTAGAATCTAGATTAGTTTCCTACTTTTGTATAACCAATGACTACAAACATAGCAGCTGTAAACAACACAAATTTATTAAATAACAGCTCTGTGGCCCAGAAATCTGGGTGGGCTCAGGTGGGTTTTCTTCCAAGGGTCTCACCAGGCTAAAATCAAGGACTTGGCCTGGTGGGCTCTCATTGGAGGCTGGGGGAAGAATTTGCCTCCATGCTAGGTCAGGCGTTGTCCAGATTCAGTTCCATACAGTCATGGTACTGAGGTTTCCTTTTTCCTGAAGGCTGTGAACCAAGGCTGCCCTCAGCTCCTGGAGGCTGTTTGCAGTTCTTTTCCACACGACACTTTCCCACTCCTCTCCCCCACCATCTTCAAAGCTAGAAATGGAGAACCATCTCCTTGGAGCTGAATGCCTCTACACTTCAAATCTCCCTGGCTTCCGCCAGGAAAAGCGGGGCACGCAGGCCAGACTGGGAATGTCACTTGCCCGTGGGTGCCCAGGCCCAGACCTGGCTGGAGCTGAGGAAGATAAATGAGCAGAAAGAATGGCAGGGTTGTGAGACCCGTGACACATGGGAGGCTCCTGGAGCAGGGCTGACAGCTCGGTTTTGGTGAGCCCAAAGGAGAAGGCAGGGGTTGGACAGATCGATGGACGGATGGCCCCTTAGCTTTATCAGGCCTCTGAGCCTCTAGTCAGAAGTGGCCAGGGTGGGGGATGTGCAGGTTTCCAGAGGGACCAAGTAGCTGAGGGACCCCAGCATCTGACTGCAGGTCATTGTCATCACATCAGAGGCCGAGGCAAGCCTAACTCCAGCAGTTGTAAATGGCTTCTTTGGTATGTACACCTGGACTGTAGGGCAGAGGCAGCCCTTGCCCCAGCTCACCATCAGACTTCAAGCAGGTCAGGGGTCCCCCAAAATCACCCTGCAGGAGAAGGACAATCTTAGGTCCCAGCCCTCTGGAGACTATGATATCAGTCCTGTGGCTCTAGACCCTCAAGTGGTGCTTCTGGGTTGAGGGCCAGGATGCTGAACCTGGAGGTGCTACCTTCTGGATCCTGGGTTCAAGGGAAGTAGGGTGATGGGCACAGGAGCATGGACTCCAAAGGCTCGAGGCAGCTTCACACACCTGACAGGCATCCTTATGGTCCTAGATGTAGCCAGCGCACAGGTTCCCTGGTAACACTATATGCTCAGCATGAGGCACATTGGTGCCTACGTGGTAGAAGTAGTCACAAGTATGTGCATCCAGCAATGGCGCTTACTCCCTGAAGATGCTGCCACTCTAAGAGTGGTACTGGGGGAAGAAGGGAGACTTATGAGAGATAAGAGAATGTGTGGAAGCAAGCAGGGGTGGGTGGGAGAAGCCTCACCTGAGAATCTTTTTTTTTTTTTAATATACTTTTTAAAGATTTATTTTTAGAGAGAGGGGAAGGCAGGGAGAAAGAGGGGAAGAGAACCATCAATGTGTGGTTGCCTCTTACATGCCCCTAACTGGGGACCTGGCCCACAACCCAGGCATGTGCCCTGATTTGGGAATTGAACCTATGATTCTTTGGTTCGCAGGCTGGTACTCAGTCCACTGAGCCACACCAGCCAGGGCTCACCTGAGAATCTTAATTTTCCAGGATGGGGAGTAGGTTTGGGTGCCTGAAAGTACCACTGGGTCCCAACAGTGAGGCAGTGGTGGGTGGGATTCTGGCTCAGAGGGAGGTGGAAGGGGAACTCCTGGCCCTCCTGCCCCTCCCTCTACCTCACCTGGGAAGAGGATGCCCCAGCCAGTGACCCAACACAGTGTACCCGGTGGCGGAAACCGGCAGCGCAGCTGCAGCTGCAGCAGCAACAGGTCGCGGGCCTCGCCTTCAGAGTAGTCTGGGGTAGAGGGGAGCAGCATTCTCTGCACAAGTGCTGAGAGAGTGTGGAGCGAGGTGGAACCCAGGTGTAGCAACCTGAGGAGAGAGGGGCATGGTACTCCAGCAGCCACGCCTGCCTGCGTGACAGGAGGAGGGCTGCTTACAGAAGTCCCTCCTCCAACCCCAGTAAGGCTCAAGTCCCTCTGTCTCACTGGAGACAGCACCGGTCCCGGCGCCTCCACCAGGTGGTGCCCCATTTTCCCTGGGCCTTGCTTCCAGCTCTCCCCTGCCTCACATCCCCATATCCCCCTTGTTCGAGCCTGGTGGCTGGCCGTTGACCTTGGGAAGCAGTGCGCTGCTGTCAGCACCCACAGCGAGGGGGGGTGATGAGCGAGCTCACACCCATGCAGCCCATGGTGCGGGATGCTCACCTGCTAGGCCACTCTCCAGCCCCCACGATCCGATTGGACACACAAGGCTGCCCGCAGGCTGCGAGAGGGCAAGAGGTAGGGCAAGGGATGGTAGAGGACTGAAGGCCTTGGAGGGGAGGGGCAGGGAGACAAAGGGCCAAGGTCATGGAGGGGTTCATTCTAGGGTGGGGATGGGGACCCTGAGGCTACCTAACCTTAAGACTCCAGCAGCTCCTGGAGGTGGAAGTAGGGAAGGCACTGGATTATGGGTTTGGTGTCAGATAACAGGTTGAGGGGAAGAGAGGTTACAGATTAGGAAGGAAGATGAAACATATTTGTTGCATTAACCTGGTGTCAGGGTTTCTTACAACCAGTTGCCCAATTTAACACTCCCCAGAGCACTGTGAAGTGGAGACTTACACCCATTACTCACATGAGCACATCTGAGTTTGGAGAGCCCAAGGGCAGTGAGAGAGAGAATTTGAACACTTGAAGCCAAAATTAGGATGCCCTGAAGAGTGCTCTAGGTGAACCAGGCCAGAGAGGGGTGAGATGGGACATCTTGTAGCAAAGGTCCCTGTGGTCAGCACCCAAAGCCCCTGCCTGACACTCACCGAGCAGCACCAGCAGCAGTAGGAGCAGGACCTGGAGATAGGAGGCCCCTCTCATTCTGTCTTCAGGACTGGGTTGGGTAAGGGTGGGAGCCTGCAGAGAGGAAGGGAGAGTCCTAGCCTAGAGCAGTAGCTCCCCCGCAGAGGCCCTTCTGTCTTCCCTCAGCCCCTAGTTTGTCCCAGACTTATCTCCATGGCCTAGGCTCTGTTTCCCAGGCCCCAGGGACCACCCCTGCCCCTCGTCCACTTTGAGACCTGGGCACCCTAGGCCTCCAGGCAAGCCCTGGAGCCCGGCCCCTCCCCCACCCGCTATTTCCATTGCCCAGCAGCTTTCCCCACGCGCCCTGGCAGCCCCTGGACCCTGCTCTCACCCTCACAGTCTGGCACCCTCCCTGCTGACTGGGCAGAGGAAACAGTTGGGGCTTAACAGGCCAGGAGGGGGCAGGGCCCTGTCCAGGGGGTAATTAAGGAGACCAGGGAGGGGCTGTGGCTTCACCTGTCCAGCTTCAAACAAAGATGTTTGAGCAGCACTTTCAAGGTAACAGGAAAAGGATACACTGCAATTCTCAAAAGAAGCTTGGTTTGGTCTGCGGTGCTGAGAAGTGGGGGCAGGAGCCTGGGCCCAGCTGAGCAAGGGCAGCGAGGTGGGGGTGGGGGGTGGGGGGGCCTGCAGTCAGCCAGGAAGCTCTGGAGAATCCTTGGCAGCTCACCTCCAAACCTGACCTCGGCAAGGCACCTGAGTACTATTGTTCTGTGTAGAAATTCCAGCTTGGCCAGCCTCACATGGAGCCTGGACTCCAGCCCTTGTGAGCTGGATGACACCAGCAGTCCTGTCCCCTCTCTGAGCATCAGTTTCCTCACTGTGACAAGGGGGAAGTACTAGTCTCCCTGGGCTATCCCAGGGCATGAAGCCCAAGTTGATGCCTTACACACCTGCACTGCTGCAGGTATGGGGCACAAACAAGGAGGGTCCCCTTTCTGAAGACTCCTGCACTTGCCTCTCCACAGCAGGGAGTTGTGGGGTGGGGAACTGAGGGGAGGAATCTAGACCAATCATAGCTCCTCACGCATCTTGAGCTCATAGCACTTGGGGATCTCGTGAAAGCACAGAACTTCCTGAGCAGTTCCAAGGTGCCCCTGAGTCTGCCCTGCTGGCCTGATTCCTTGTCATGCTGGGGCTGGGTTCTGGGACACCAGTGAGGAGCCAGACACACTTGATGTTTGCTCCCGTCCACCAGGCCACCTTATGGTGCTGCAGCAGCTGCTTAGGTGCTGGCATCCTCACTGGGTCCTGCTTCAACGTGGAGCACCCATGCCCCCAGACAACCCTCAGCCTGTGGCGGTCAGGAGAGAAGTGCCCACATCCAGCATCCTTGTCCTCTAGGAGCCCAAAGCAGGGGTGCGTTCCCTGGAGTTTCTCAGAGGGCCCCAGGAGGATTGTGCTTCAGTTGTCCACACTGTAACCTCATCATCCAGGCAAAAGTCATCGAATTCTTCCTTCCCTGCCTCAGTTTCTCCACCCCACTGAGGCTTCCTGATATTACCCCTCAAATAAACCACCTGCATACCAGTCCTGGACCCAGGTCAGCCTTTGATGGACCATGGTTAAGATCAGGAGCACCTAGCATTTGTGTGATGGGGCCACTGACGTGAGCATTGGGGTGATCAGGGGTATTTCCTCCACAGCACCCCCCACTTCAGTCTTCTTAGTCCCCAGGGACCCTGGTGCTACTAATGTCCTTCCATAAATTATCTTTCTGATTGAATTAACCAGAGAGAGTTCTGCTGTTTGCAACCAAAATCTATATGGTGCTGATAAATAGAGAAAGATTTAGGAGTCTGGGAGTGGTTTTGGGGTGGACGACATGGGTGACCATGAGGGTGTCCAGGAAACTACCCAAGTCCACAAAATGTTCTGCGAGGAATCAATTAAAACATGCACATGTGTTTATTAGCAAAGAAGACAAAAGGGCACCAGAGCCTGATCCAGCAGGCAGTCCTGCCACTGGGGTGTCCACAGCCCTGGGGGAATGTGTCCGGTGCTATGGTAACTATTGCACCCTCACAGGCTCAGCTGTGCGCAGGCTGGCTGCACCAGTGGGGCAGCCCCGAGCAGAGAGAGGAGCAGCAGCAGTGGGAAGGGGTGTATCCTGGGTGTGCTCTGGGCCATGAGCTTCTGGATCCAGCCGAAGTACCTACTGACGTTGGTGTAGACACCGGGCCGGTTGGGCCTACCACAGCCCACTCCCCAGCTCACGATTCCAATCTGAATCCACAGCCCATTCTTTTCACAAGTCAAGGGTCCACCTGAGTCACCCTGGGGAGCAAAATGGGTGAGCAGGGCCTGGGGCAAGGCAGGAGGCGCCAGTGGAGAGGCCCCAGGGCTATGGAGCTGGGCAAACTGGGTACAAATCCTACTGCTCCCCCTGTAAGTGACCAAGCCTTAGTTTCTGCTTCTGCAAAGTGGGTCAACAGTCTACCCACCAGATCTCATGTGAGGATCAAAGGAGATACAATTAATGTAAAATGAGAAGCTTTTATAGGAAAGGTAAGGGCTGCAATCATTTTCTCATTAATCAACTCCGAGGGTGGGTTGGTCATGGGGGTTGCTCTTAGGCCCAAGGTTGAGAGGGGATGAGTAGTGCCTGGTCCCAGAAAGGCCCTGTCTGGGGCAAGCGCGCTCACTTTGCAGGTGTCATGGCTGCCATCCTCAGAGCCCGCACAAATCATGTCATCCTCGATTCTATAGAAGAAATTGGGCTGTTGGTACAGGTAGTTACACCTGGAGTTGTTTATGATGGAGACCTGTACTTCCTGGAGGATGTAGGGAGACGGCAGCCCTGCATAGAAGTTGAAGGGATAAAGAAAGGTAGGATCCTGAGCCTCTCCTCTGCCATCTGGCCGGGAGAACGATACGGGCTATGGAGGTGGAGGTGCCTGGGGCACCCACAGTGCCTGGGCTATTGTTCTTTTTTTTTTTTTTTTAATTTAAAAGAAGATTTTATTTATTGTTGGAGAGAGGGGAAAGGAGGGAGAAAGAGAGGGAAAGAAACCATGATGTGTGAGAGAAACATTGATCAGTTGCCTCCTCATGCCCCCAACAGGCACCTGGCCTACAACTCAGGGATGTGCCCTGACCGGGAAGCAAACTGGTGTATTTTTGGTTTGCAGGACGACATTCAACCCACTGAGTCCCACCAGTCAGGTCAGGACGTTGTTCTTGATGAGTCCTCTGCTCTAGCCCAGCACTCAGCACACCATGGGTATGAGCAATATCACAAAAGTATTCAATGGCTAGGCAGGCTGTTATACCTCCCTAAGATTCGGTTTTCCTATCTGTGGCATGCAGATGACAGCCTTTGCCCAAGCCAGTGGAGAGAAACCTTAACATGCATAGGAGGAGGGGCTAATGCAGCTGAAATTGTTTATGTTTAATATCTTACAGCTGCAGGATCCAGGCCAAAAACTTCCCAAAGTTGATGAAAGATATAAATCTATACACTCTGAACAAACTCCAAGTATGAAAAACACAAGGAGGTCCACACTGAGATACATATTTATCAAAATATCAAAAGTCAAAGGGAAAATATTGTACACAGCAAGGGAGAAGCTACGCATTAAGTATAAGGGATCTTCAACAAGATTAACAGCCAAATTATTTTCAAACACCCTAGAGGCCAGGAGACAGTAGGATGACATACTTAAAGTGCTGAAAGAATAAAACTGTTAACTAAAAATTCTGTATCAGGCAAAACTATCCTTCAAAAAATGAAGGAAAGGTTAAGAAATTTCCAGATAAACAAATGCTGAGAGGGTTTGCCACTAATAGACCTACCCTATGAGAAATGAGAAAGGGAGCCCTTCGGGCTAAAGGGAAAGGACACTAACTAGTAACTAAAACCTATGAGAAGAAACAAAGGACACTGGTATAGGTAACTACACAGGTACATACAAAAGCCAGTATTATTATAGTTTTGGTTTATAACTTATTTTTTCCTATAGAGTTAAAAAGACAACTGCATAACAATAATTGTAAATCTCTGTTAATGGTCACAGAGCACATAAAATGGTAAATTGTGACAATAACAACTTAAGGGGAAGAATAGAGCTGTATAGGAAGAGTTTTTGTTTACTATTGGAACTAAGTTGATATTAATTTAAAATAGATTGTTATAAATTTGTTAATTTGTAATCCCCAGGACAGCCACTAAGAAAATAACTAAAAAACATACAGAACAGGAAATGAGAAGGGAATCAATACAGCACACTAATAAAAATCAAACACAAAAGGAAGAAATAAGAAACAAAAATAGTCCTTGCTGGTGTGACTCAGTGGATTGAGCGCCAGTCTGTTGCAGGTTTGTTTCTAGGTCAGAGCACATGCCTGGGTTGTGGGCCGGGCCCCAGTTAGGGGTGTGTAAGAAGCAACCAATCAATGCATCTTTCACACATTGATGTTTCTCTCCTTCTCTTTCTCCCTTCTTTCCCCGCTCTCTAAAAGCAAATAAATAAAATCTTTAAAAAAAGAAATTAAAATATATTACAGATATAAAATACAAAGGTATGACAAGATAAAGAAAACAAATAGAATAATGGTAGAAGCAAGTCCATCTTTATTCGTGATTAATTTTAATGTAAATGGATTAAGCACTCCAGTTAAAAGGCAGAGATTGGCAGAAGAGATTAAAAACACAGGATCCAACTACATGTTGTCTACAAGACAATAATTTTATTTTTTTATTATATTTATTTTTAAATTTTTATTTATTGGTATTTTTAGAGTGAAAGATGGACTTGTTGTTCCACTCATTTATACTCTCAAGGGTTGCTTCCCATACGTGTCCTGACTGCAGATAAAACCCTCAACCTTGGCATATCAGGATGATGCGCCAACCAACTGAGCTACCTGGCTGGGGCCTACAACACAATCATTTTAGGTCCAAAGGCACACACAGGTTGAAAATGAAATGTTGGAAAAAGAGATCCTGTGCAAATAGTAACCAAAAAAGAGCTCAAGTTGCTATACCGTCAGATAAAATAAGACTTTCATTCAAAACTTGTTAAAAGAGTCAAAGCTAAGGACATTATATGTTGATAGAAGTGTCAAATTGGAGAATCTCAGCCTTGCCTCCCAGAGACTACTGAGCCCCCGTTGGTCCGTTGCCACCCACTTCAGACACAGAACATCCAGTCATGGATAAAAATGAGCCGGTGCAGAAGGCCAAGCTGGTTAAGCAGGCTGAGCAATATGATGACATGGCAGCCTGCCTACGTGAGGTCTGTAACTGAGCAAGGAGCAGAATTATCCAAGAAGGAGAGGGATCTTCTCTCAGTTGCTTATAAAAGTGTCGTAGGAGCCCATAGGTCGTCTTGAAGGGTCATCTTGAGTATTGAGCAAAAGACAGAAGGTACTGAGATAAAAGAGCAGTCGGCTCGAGAATATAGAGAAAATTGAGACCAAGTAAATAGATATCTGCAATGATGTACTGTCTCACTTGGAAAAGTTTTTGATTCCCAATGCTTCACAAGCAGAGAGCAAAGTCTTCTATTTGAAAACAAATGGGTGCTACTACTGTTACTTGGCTGAGGTTGGTGTTGGAGATGACAAGAAAGGGAGTGTGGATCAGTCACAACAAGCATGCCAAGAGGCTTTTGAAACCAGGAAAAGGGAAATGCAACCAACACATCCTATCAGATTGAGTCTGGTCCTTAACTTCTTTGTGTTCTATTATGAGATTCTGAACTCCCTGGAGAAAGCCTGCTCTTTTGCAAAGATAGCTTTCCACGAAGCTGTTGCTGAACTTGATACATTAAGAGTCATACAAAGGCAGCACACTAAAAATGTAATTACTGAGAGACAACTTGACATTGTAGACATCGGATACCCAAGGAGACAAAGCTGAAGCAGGAGAAGGAGGAGAAAATTAACTGGCCTTCAAACTTTTGCCAGCCTCATTCTAAAATTTATACAGTAGACCATTTGTCATACACACTGTCCCACAAATAGTTTTTTATGATTTATGACAGGTTTATATGACTTCTCTTTGAATTTCTATATTTCCCATGTGGTTTTTATGGTTAATATTAGGAGAGGAGAGCCAGTTAATATTTAGGGAGTTATGTATTCACCTTGAGGTGGTCAATATGCAGATGTGGAATTTTTATACAAGTTATAAATATTTGGCACAGTACTTTTGGTACATTGTGGCCTCACGAGGGCCAGGACTAAAATTGCTTTCATGTCTAAGCAAAGAAAACTGCTTTCAGGGGTGTTCAACCTGCAGCCCGCAGGCCACACAGGGTCCAGGATGGCTGTGAATGTGGCCCAACACAAAAATCGTAAATTTACCTAAAACCATTTTTTTGCTCATCAGATTCATTAGTGTTTGTGTATTTAATGTGTGGCCCAAGACAACTCTTCTTCTTCCAGTGTGGCCCAGACATGCCAAAAGGTGCGACACCCCTGGTTACATATTGGTTTGTTCCGGTGGGAAACAAAAGGGATAATTGGTTCCAGTCACAGGTGTAGTTGTTGTAGGCAGAGTTTTAGAGGACTTAGAGGGCTGTAGTAGAAATGGCCCTCTAAGGGACCATTGGATGTCCCATTGATAGCACACATTGAACCATGTGTGTATCTGCAGAATACTCAGTCTCAATGTGCACACCTTTGCTGCAAAAGTGTTCCTTTAGTTGTGACCCAACTTACTCTGCATAAGGGCAGAAACAGTTCATATTACAGTATTTGTAAAGTTACCTGCTGTTTGCTTTCATTATTTTTGCTACCTTCATTTTATTTGCATTTAAATATTTTAGGCAACTGAAGAACGAATGTACAAGATGCAGTAAAATGAAATTCATTACTTTATGTATATCAAGCACAGCAGTAAAACTAACAAAAAATCCCCTATGTATTTAACTTATTTTAGTTTTCCTTTTACTTTTGTGATTTTTTTTGATACTTATCTAACATGCATGTGCTGTAAAAATAGTTAACAGGGAAATAACTTGAGATGATGGCTAGCTTTGTTAATGTCTTGTGAAATTTTCATAAACAAGTCAAGATGGAGGTGTAGGCAAACACACCTCACCTCCTCATCCAACTACAGCAAAAATTACAACTAGACTACAAAACAAATATCACACAGAATTGTCAGAAAATTGAGCTGTTCTGAAGTGTGACAACCAAGGATTTAAAGAAGCTACATTCATCCAGATGGGCTACACTACTAAGACAGGGAGTCAAAGCCGCTCTCCCTAATATACAGAAACAAACACAGGGAGGCTGCCAAAATGAGGAGACAAAGAAATGTGGCCCAAATGAAAGAACGGAACAAAACTCCAGAAAATAAATAAATAAATGAAATGGAGTTAAGCAACCTATCAGGTGCACAAAACACTGGTTATCAGGATGCTCCAGGAACTCATTGGGTACTTCAACAGCATAAAAAAGACCCAGGCAGATATGAAGGCCACATTAAGTGAGATAAAGAAAAATCTACAGGGAACCAACAGTGGAGGGGATGAAGTCAAGAATCAAATCAGCGATCTGGAACACAAGGAAGAAAAAAGCATTCAATCAGAACAACAAAAAGAAAAAATAGCTTAAAAACCGAGGATAGGCTAAGGAGCTTCTGGTACATGTTTAAACACACCAACATCTGAATCATAGAGGTGTCAGAAAGAGAAGAGGGAGAGCAAGAAATTGAAAACTTATTTGAAAAAAAAATAATGAGAGAAAACTTCCCTAATTTGTGAAGGAAATAGACTTACAAGTCCAGGAAGCACAGGGAGTACCAAATAAGTTAGGCCCAAAGAGGACCACACCAAGACATATCATAAT